AAACACAGGAAGAACACTCTTTGACATAAATCACAGCAAGATCTTTTTTTGATCCACCTCCTAGAGTAATGGAAATAAAAACAAAAATAAACAAATGAGACCTAATGAAACTTAAAAGCTTTTGCACAGCAAAGGAAACCATAAACAAGATGAAAAGACAACCCTCAGAATGGGAGAAAATATTTGCAAACGGATCAACGGACAAAGGATTAATCTCCAAAATATATAAACAGCTCATGCAGCTCAATATTAAAAAAAAGAACAACCCAATCCAAAAATGGGCAGAAGACTAAATAGACATTTCTCCAAAGAAGACATACAGATGGCCAAGAAGCACATGAAAAGCTGCTCAACATCACTAATCATTAGAGAAATGCAAATCAAAACTACAATGAGGTATCACCTCACACCAGTCAGAATGGTCATCATCAGAAAACCTACAGACAACAAATGCTGGAGAGGGTGTGGAGAAAAGGGAACCCTCTTGCACTGTTGGTGGGAATGTAAATTGATACAGCCACTATGGAGAACAGTATGGAGGTTCCTTGAAAAACTACAAATAGAACTACCATACGACCCAGCAATCCCACTACTGGGCATATACCCAGAGAAAAGCATAATTCAAAAAGACACATGCAACCCAATGTTCACTGCAGCACTCTTTACAATAGCCAGGACATGGAAGCAACCTAAATGCCCATCAACAGATGAATGGATAAAGATGTGGTACATATATACAATGGAGTATTACTCAGCCATAAAAAGGAACGAAATTGGGTCATTTGTGGATATGTGGATGGATGAGACTGTCATACTGAGTGAAGTAGGCAGAAAGAGAAAAACAAATATCGTATACTAACGCATATACGTGGAACCTAGAAAAATGGTACAGATGAACTGGTTTGCAGGGCAGAAATAGAGACACAGATGTAGAGAACAAACGTATGGACACCAAGAGGGGGAAGCGGCGGGGGGTGGTGGTGGGATGAATTGGGAGATTGGGATTGACATATATACACTGATATGTGTAGAATGGATGACTAATAAGAACCTGCTGTATAAAATAATTAATTAATTTAAAAAAATCATCACAATGGGACTGCTAGTTTCCACTTAAGATGGAGAAAGCTGCGAAGAGTGTTATCCTAACAAGAAGAAAAAGCTGGATAAAGTAGAAGATTATAAAATTTCTTGAACCCATTAGAGAGTCGAAATCTAATAGGTCATGCCTACAAGTAGGGATATGTATGAGCACAGGCCCACCTGAGTCAAGGCAGAGAGGAAGATGGGGCTCCCATCCAAGCGGGCCTTCTTTCAATAGATGACAAGTCAACTGAAGGTACAACATTGAGCCACACTTAATATCTTAACCTAAAAGCTACTTTCAGAGGATTAATATTTGGAGTTTGATTGAATTCATTAGTCATAATTTTTACATGTGGTTATATAACATATAAAACTTTTAAACAATTCTAAAGAATTGATCTAAAGAAAAGATCAATTCTTTATAGCTTTCCTTCAATGCAAAACATTTCTAGAGGCTAAGACTCCTGTGAATAGAGTCCTACTTAAAAAAAAAAAAAGACCCAATGTAGCCAAGATATAAACTTAAAACAAACAAAAAGAGTAAGTACAGATATACTCATCAATATGGGTAATCTTAGAAACACCATAAAGAAAAAGGAACAAGCCACACGGAAGTTTGATAACATTTTTACGAAGTTCAAAAGCAAGCACAACTAAAACAGTGCAGGGATAGATACCATAGGATGAAACTATAAAATAAGGGAATGAGAAAACCACAAAGTTTCAGAGAGGGGTGACACACGTAGAGGAGTCAGGGGGATGGGAGCTGGCGGGATATAGCCAGGTCCTGCGGCAGCGTTGGTAACAGTGAGGTTCCCAGTCGGGTGATGGGCACGTGGGGGGTTGACTACTAGACTTCATAATACACATATACATATATTCTTATATGTCAAATATTTCATAACAGCACTGATCAAAAGAATATGTGGCTATTAAAAAATGTCCCTTGACTTCAGAACACCTGCATTCCAGTACCTGTTCTGCTGATGACTAATCCTAACAACTAATCCAACTTGAGAAAGTGACCAAAACCTGTCTTCCTTGGTTAAATGATGGTGTTGGAACAGATGCTCATAATGCTCCCTTTGAAGTTCTAAAATCCCTTAGCTTTGTTCATTAGAAATATACTCAAAATAAAATGTGCCCTCACCTCTACAAGGATGGGTAGTAGGATTAGCCAGCTGCTTTAAACAAAGGTTTAAAAACAAATCACAGGCAACAGAATCTGAAAGGAAATGTGAGTTAGAAATGTCTCACTTTCCCAAATAAGAAACTGACAAGTAATACTCTTAATTTGTGTATGTGTAGCAAAACCTAATCCAGAATGAATAGGCCCTGAAATAAATCTCCTAATGGAATCTAAACAAGTGCTGCGGCCCCTACACCACCCCCAGCAAAGTCTTCTCTTACACCAGTTCAGGGGACTGCTGCACCAACAGAAGCAACATGAGCTCGGGTACCTGTTATCAGCGGAATTCTCACAACTCACTGAGATTCTCCTTGGAGATCTGTAAAAGTACTACTGACCTGGTCCCAAGATGACAAAGTTCAATGACCCCAAACTTTGAGCTGACATCCAAGGCAGCTTTCTATTATGCTAATGGAAATGAAGAACCAGAAGAAAAAAAAAAAGTCTACTGCCATGCAAGCCCATCAAAACTTGTAAAACATTACTGGTTTGTAACTACCACCTATAAAACTAGGTTAAACTTACTGTCAAGGTAAGAAACTTTACTTACATGTAGCTCATTATGCTTCCACATAGCCCAAGCCTGAGTCATGAAACCTTCCAGACATGGAGATTAAAATATTATAGCAGACGCCTATTTCATTCTTCTAAGGAAAGTGATATTTCTCAACATTAAACGCTTTGAGAAAAAAGATGTAGAGATCTCTTTGATGTGAAAAAAAATAAAAGGCAGCAAGAGATGAAGACACTTTTTTTGTTTAGATTCCTCCTTTTCTTACCAATCACTAAACACAAAAGTGCCTGAAGCTCAGATGCCTTTTCTGCTTTTTACACTCACTCCCCGGTGAGATCTTGTCTAGCACCTCACCCCAACCCCGAATTCCAGTGTCATGCATCCAGTCACCTTCCTGACCTCTTACTTGAATGTGCAGTTGACATCTCCAACTTAACCTCACAAACTGAACTCCTGGATTTCATTCCCCCTCCTAGTTTTCTCCATTCCGGTAAATGCTGGGGTCCCAAACCCTGGACATTTCTCAGCCCTGCACACCCCACATAAAATCTGTCAGCACATGTTGGTTCTGTCTTCAAAATGTATCCAGAATCTGACCATTTTTCACCACTACTATCATGCCAAGTCACCAAAACCTCTTACCTATGTAACTGCAGTGACCTCCTAACTGGTTTCTTTGCTTCCATTCTTACCTCTTTACAATCTACTTTTACACAGCAGCTAGAGCGATCCTCCTAAAACACAAGTTAGAGCAAAATCCTCCAATGAGTTCTAACATCACTTGGAGCCATCTAAAATCCCTCCCAAGTCCTTCAAGGTCTGACATGACAGGAGGCCTCTCTCCCATCACTGGTCCTCCTAGCTCACTCTACTGCGGCCAGACCTCCCACCTGTTGCCCAAACATCCCCTGGAGGGCTTTGCAAATGCTGGGCTTCCTGCCTAGGACACTCCCCTGTTCCACCTCCCTCAGATGTCCCTCAGCTGACTCCCCTCTGCTTAAAGGTCACCAGGGACCTTCCCGACCACGCTCTAAAGTAGCACTTCCACTGTCCCTCTCCAGAATTTATGTTTCTTGTAGTATTTACCTTCGGACTCATCACATATGTATTATCTTATGCATATTCCATTAAAAAAATCTCTTGAGCAGTCTCTGAATATATAACTTATATATATGACCACTGAATATATTATGAATTGATTAGAAAATATACACAAAGATAAAATTTGAAAAGAAGATTTTAAATAATATATAAAGAAGCTTTAGTGTTTTTTCCTGAATCTCAGTGGATGTCTGTCACATGCCCTGGGCTGTGCGCTCCACTGCAGAAGCCACAAGCTTCAGTTCTGCAGCCTGAACTTTCTAGCCTAATTTCTCCTCTGAGATATTCCCATTTCCTTCAAAATACCCTTGCAATTTCCTGTGATTTTTGAAACCAACACTCTAGGGGCTTTGGAAAGCATTGTGTGAAAATGTTAAAGGGAGTAGCATGCATGTTGGCCTCCATCCCACCTGAAATATCAGGGGCACACATGCTTTAATTACCTCCTTTGAATTACCCTGAAGGTATAATCTGCGACTCAGCTTTGAATGAATCAGGTTTCTTTGCAAAAAGGAAATTCCCACATTAAAAATGCAGTTTTTGGACTTCCCTGGTGGTGCAGTGGTTAAGAATCCGCCTGCCAATGCAGGGGACACGGGTTTGATCCCTGGTCCAGGAAGATCCCACATGTCGCAGAGCAACAAAGCCCGTGCACCACAACTACTGAGCCTGCGCTCTAGAGCCCATGAGCCACAACTACTGAAGCCTGCGCGCCTAGAGCCCGTGCTCCATAACAAGAGAAGCCACCACAATGAGAAGCCTGCACACCACAACAAAGAGTAGCCCCTACTTGCAGCAGCTAGAGAAAGCCCGTGTGCAGCAACAGAGACCCAACACAGCCAAAAATAAATAAATTTTTTTTAAAAATGCAGTTTTCTCCCTGCACTTCCTCCAAGAAATCATCATTGTTTATAAGAGAGCTGAATCATAAGAACATAGGTAACACAGTAACCAAAAATATCAGATTTTTATGTGCCTTATCAAAAAATAAATAAAACCTTGTAGTCAATAATTACTTAACAGGACAACAAATCAGAGACAGAGTATCTTAAGTCCTTTTACACTCAAAAAAGGGCTTCATTAAAAGTGTATTAGAAATAAAATACTCACGTGCCCCAATGTACTTTAATGGAACAAGTCTTCTGCATCATACCAAACCCCTGCATTTCTTCAATATCATCAAAGTAGGAATTTAGAAGTCCTAACCCATCTGGTTCAGTAAATAAGTCGATTTGACTAACTCTGTAATCCTAAAAGAAAAAAAAGAAAAATGAATACACGAATACACGTATACAAGTATAACAGTACACCATGTATTAAAATCTACAGTAAGCTCATTATTCTTCTTTTCAAATAATTAAAAGAAGCTTTAAATATACAATAGATTGCACAGATCACCTGCCACTTTATCCCTTTCCTGTTTTCACCCATGACCTAATAATATATGATCTTTCGGGGCAGACACATTGGTTTAGTCATATATCTCAGTGTTACATTCAAGCAAAGAGGACCAGAAATGTATTTTAGAGTTTTGGAACATAGTTATTTCTCTCATCCTCACAGGAAAAAAAAAAAAAAAACTGCTTCGCTTTCCTTGGTAACATGAGTTTTAGTTCCTTTGCTCTCCTGTGACCGTCCCTGTCCAGGGATACTGGTTTATAGAGTGGTTGCACTTGGAATCTTCCTCAGCTGTTTTGTGCCCATAAGCCCCCTGTGGTAACTCTCCTTGACTATGATGTCGGCTTGGTCTAAGTCATAAAAGGCAAAGGCACACGTTTATGGTGATTTAAATCTCTACATTTTAGTCACTATTCCATGCACTGCATGTCCATCAAACACTCTACAAAAGGCCTCTCTTGGCTGAGTGCCTGAGCCCAGATCGAATGTTTTTTGAACCTCTTCTGTGTTGCAGAGCGAGGTGAACTGAGGTACAGAAAAAATGGTTAACACTTGGGTCAGTTTAGGGGCAGCTCTTTCAAACATTAACAAAAGGAACAAATCTAGTGAACCGAAAAGGTGACCCCTTTGAATATACGTTGTGACTTATGTTTATGTGTCAAGAAACCATAAACACAAACTGTAAAAAGTTACACTTCATCACATATTAGAAGCCATAAAAGTATTCCTTCTCTTTAACATGACACCATTCAGAAAAACTTACCCCAAGGAAATAAATCAGAAAATGTATACATTATTAAATGCACAAAAATGTTCATGCAGTATTATTTAAGGTAAGTTTTTCCCTAAGTCCCACAGTAAGAAGAAAGGTAAAATAAATGATAGCGCATCATATCAATGGAATATGATGCTCAGTTAAACCCCAAACCATGTAATAACATGAAAAGCATTAATTCACCTTAGGTCTGCTATTATCAGGGGAAACAGGAGGCCTCTTTACCAATGTGCTTCATTTCCCTTAGCCCACCTTCCTGGATCCCTAAATCCCCACCCCACCAGATCCTAATACCTCCCCCAGTGGCAAATCATTGAGAGATGTTACAAACGGGAGTGTAACCTTCAGGAAAGTGGTATGGAGAGAGGAAAAAAAGGATTGAGAATCACAGTTTTAAATGAAAACAACACTGTACCTGTATTATGATTACAACTATAGAAAAAGCAGATTATAATATGGCCAAGAAAGAGTAGAGAATTCAGAAAAATGAAGGGAGGACACTTCATGAGAGATGGGATTTTGGATGATAGTTTAAAATAGTTTTATTACCAATACTATTTGAGTAATAAATAAAAACTGCAGGTAAATTATCCCACTATGACATTTTTAAATGGTGTTTCTTGTGTCTTACATAAGGTTCATCACATTATGTACTTAAAACTAGTAAGAGATAAATCGTTTAGAATACCAATATTACCATCTAAGTCACTCAGAAATGTTGACCCAGGAAACAGGTGACATTTTCCTCCGCCAAAAGCTGTTAGTCATTCTTACTCATTCTCATTTTGGAACATGGCTTTTTTCCCTATTGTACCCCAACACCCATGTCTAGTACACAAATGGAGTTTTTTCACTTGGAAGATACCTTTTACATTTTTAAAGGTAAAGAATCATCAAATGCCAAGAACCATGAAGAACTGATACAAGTTCCTCAACAACGAATAAGGGACCAAGAAATTTTTACCCAATCCATAAAGTGGCCTTAAATACCTATTTTTCTAAAAACCCACATGAAATGCCAGAGTTGATCAACTGAATTATCTTTGGATTATTTATTTTTCCAAAACAGAACTCCTGTAAGCCACTCAAGGTAATAAGAACTCGCACAGCAACCAAAAAACTAAGTAAAAGAAAAATCTGGTCCGTGCTCCGCAACGAGAAGCCACCGCAACAAGAGGCCTGCGTACCACAATGAAGAGTAGCCCCCGCTCGCCTCAACTAAAAAAGAAAGCCCACACACAGCAACGAAGACTGAACGCAGCCAAAAATAAATAAATAATAAATTAATTTAAAAAAAAAAAAAAAGAAAAATCTGTTCAGGACTTCCCTGGTGGCACAGTGGTTAAGAATCCACCTGCCAATGCAGGGAACCTGGGAAGATCCCACATGCCATGGAACAACTAAGCCCGTGCACCACAACTACTGAGCCTGTGCTCTAGAGCCCGCAAGCCACAACTACTGTACCCATGTGCCACAACTACTGAAGCCCGCGCACCTAGAGCCCGTGCTCCACAACACGTGCAACACGAGAAGCCACCGCAATGAGAAGCCCGTTCACCGCAACAAAGAGTAGCCCCCGCTCTCTGCAACCAGAGAAAGCCTGCACGCAGCAACGAAGACCCAACGTAGCCAAAGCTAAATAAATAAATTTATTTTTACAAAAACAAAAATCTGTACATACAGAACTCATCAAAACTAGGTTATTAAGTAAAATACATTTGCAGATGGGAATGGGGGGCTGGAATGAGAAATTTACCTTCAGGATTTATTGTGAAAAAGATGACTAACCAATTAGAATGTTTCTTAGTTCTAATTCATTTAACATGTACAAATGTCTAAAATACAGAAAATACATCCATAAAACACCACATATTTGTCCCACTTTTATCATAAAATGAAACTCTCTCTCAAAAGAATTATACCCGGCATTCAATAAATATTTGCTGAAAGAATGGATGAAATCCAGTTTGCCTTTATTAAAACCTTACTAATTTTACCTACCTGGACCACAAGTCTGATTGAACCAATCACCACAGGCTTAGCCGACTCTGCCTCATCATCGTTTCTCTCCAAAATATCTTCTATATCCCAGAGACCAGACAGTTCCAATTCTCCCTCTTCTAAGGGGATGGAGTGTCCTTCAAAATTTGGTTTCTCGTACAAAATCCAGCTAAGAATAAAACATAGCAAAACTATTAGCCAGTCTTGGTGAGAGAGATTTTGAATACGCAAATATTCTGGCCAATAGCCACTATATATATATACCATATATTAGTGGCCAATTCTCTAGCAATTAAAACAGCATAAACTCTCCCTATAACTAAAACTTCAGTGGGCATAATTAAGCTCTGATAACTGAAGAATTTTATCAGGATTTCAGAGGACTTCTGACTATCAATATGAACATTATAGAGCTACTAAAGTTTTATAGAATTGCCAGTTGGTGGAGACTTAGTAATATGTCAGATAAATGGACGTTTATTGCAATTTTTTTCTTTTTATGTATGTAAAAAACACTTCTCTTGAGGGATTTTAACTTATATATTAGAACCATATCAATGGATATATTGATACAAAGGACTACTACATGCATGTTAATGGAAAGCATTTTTTCCAGTTTTATTGAGATCTAATTGACATATAACATTGTATTAGTTTAAGTTGTATAACATGATGATTTGATATCTGTGTATATTACGAAATGATCACCATAATAAGTTTAGTTAACATCCACCACCTCACAGTTACAATTTTTTTTCTAGTGATGAGAACTTTTAAGATCTACTCTCTTAGTAACTTTCAGATATACTATGTAATACTTTAACTTTAGTGACCCAGAAAGCATTTTTACAGTATTCTTCCCAACAACATCCAAACACTAAAGAAAAACCTCATGACAATATATGACAGTGCTGGTCTTAAGAGAGAAGTCAACAAAAGTTGAAGAATCACTATTCATTAAAAACAAAATTATAGGGCTTCCCTGGTGGCGCAGTGGTTAAGAGTCCGTCTGCAAATGCAGGGGACATGGGTTCGTGCCCCGGTCCGGGAGGATCCCACATGCCATGGAGCGGCTGGGCCTGCGCGTCTGGAGCCCGCGCGTCTGGAGCCTGTGCTCCGCAACGGGAGAGGCCACAACAGTGACAGGCCCACTTACCGCAAAAACAACCCCCAAAAAAACCCAAAAAAAACCAAAAAACAGAATTATAACTTTAAGTTTTCAAATTTAAGAACAAAAACTAATTGTATTTTTCTAATGAATATGTTGAATATACAGAAAAATATATTAAAATATCTAAAACCTAAGAGGAAAGATGCTGCATATTTAATCAAATGGAGACCTAAAGAAAAGCTTAATAATTTTGTAAACCATAAATGTCTAGAGCCCTACACTCTTT